TGGCGCAGCAGGTAGGTGAGCGGGCTCGTAGTGGTGGGACAAAGGTTCGGATCCTTGATGCATTTCGTAGTTTTGCTTTTTCTTGAAACGTATGCTAAACACTTGGAAAGTAGTTTTAGGTACCAGTTCGACCATCAGGGGCCCCTCTCTGCTCCTTATTGAGCCCTGTGGAACTAGTTTGGGGAGATATCATTTCGATTGCAGTGAATGAAATCGATAGCGCTGATGTGGCAGCCTTATTTGGGTAATATATTGCTGTAACTAGTGCGGAACATTAAGCGAGCACATAAGACATCTTGATACAAAATGGCGTGTTGACACGTAGGAAGAACTTATAAAAGCTCTTGAGGTGAATCGCTCTGCTCTCACTTCCTTTCACTAGTTCTCTCGGCACTATTTGTCTTGAACTGCCCCAATCATCCGAAATTCGGCCAGTTTTTGACCGGCTTTTTTCTACGTGGGCGGAATTGGCCAAAAATTTGTCTCCTGGAGTAGTTTACCTCCGAAACATGAATATCACATCCGCTTAGCACGAAACCTCCTGGGGCCGCGCCACAGGCGCCGGCGCCAAAATACCCCAAATCACCGGCGCCTGTAGCGCGGGCGTCAGGAGGTTTTGGGTCAAGCGAATGTGATGTTCGTATTCAGGAGGTAAAATAACCCCACTGAGCCGCCGCGGTCTGTCCAAGAAGAAAAAAATTCGGTCAAAACTAGGCACGACTCCGGATGACTGGGGCAGTAAAAGGCGAAGTGTACTCTTCTCTCTATTGCGAAAGTGGCGTTCGGCACAATGAAGCGCAACCTGCTCTTCATGCGCAAAAATTTGCGAATCTTGTACTTGATTGATAGCATCGTACCTTATCAGCTGTTATCATGTCCTGCCACCCATCAATAATGTTCCCATCCTGCCCCCTGTCTTACTTTTGGAAACGACGTTCTGCCGTCGCTGTGACGCGCGTTATGATGTTGGTGACCCTCCCCTTCTAAGGCTCCTTATGGTATCTTATCAGCTGTTATCACGTCCTGCCACCTATCAATAATGTTCCCATCCTGCCCCTATCTTACTTCTTGGGAGCGACGTGCCGTCGCTGTGATGCTTGTTATGATGTTGGTGACCTTCCCCTCCTGAAGATCCTTATAGTGTCTTATCAGCTGTTATCGGCTGAACGAGAGGAGGACCCCGGCAGCGAACTAGCATCAGCCATTAGTTCCATTCTCCAGAGGTTGGCAAGTGACGCGCGTGAAGGCGTCGTTCAGTCTGATTGACGTGCCAGTCTGCGCACAATGCATGGTAAACCTTATAGTCATTGGTAGACTGGTCACTGACAAGACATTTGTGCTGATATCATTACCTCCTATATCACCTGTGCTCCCGTTGATCATCGAGTTCCTCGAGCGGGCGCCAGTAACGTCTCCATTCGTCCCTGCAACGTGCAAGAGTTGCCCAATGGGTCTCTCCGCTCGAGGGACACGATGATGTCATACCATTGCTTCAGAGCTTTCAAGAGAAGTCTGATCAGGTGGTCGTCCAGGTTTTAACATCTTGTGCAGTACGGTAGGTAACAATTCCAGTGTGCTCTAGCTCGGGAGCCAGCCGGCGCGTCTCAGGTTGTGGATAGAGGAACGGCCGCCAGATATGACCAATAGCTGCTAATAAACAAGAGCGAGGTCCATCGGAGTGCGGCCAGGGCTAGTATTAGCGACGTCAATCTTTATGAAGGAATTACTAGGAGGAGCGTATTCTGATGCTAAAACATCCATGAAAGAACAAAAATCTTCGGACCGTTAGCGGAAAGGCAACGTAACCAATTTCAAACGGAGTAGCTAAAGAACAAGAGGGCTGCCAACCCGAATGTACTGCTGCAAAAATCTCCAGCAGAAAATTGCAAAGAAAGAGTTTTGGTCCCGATGGGTATGTGTGCTGCCTCGATGTCCCATGAAAAGCCCACACAACGGACGCATCACACTCCACATTGCTTGCCACAAAGTCAGAGCGCCATCGACAGATGCACTCCTGGACGTATTCATTCGACAGCTGACTAAGATCAAAACCAATGTTGTGTCACAAAAATGGGAGAGCAACGAGGTTTCTGCCATGTTATTGAGCGGTAAAGATTCTTTATCGAACAATTATCGAGAATCAGTCAAGAACAGGTGGAGTCATCGCAAGGCAAACCGGCTCCATATATCACTTTCTTCATGTCCCTCTTCCCTGTATATTGCTGTTTAAGGTCAAGATAGGAAAACTGTGGAGGGTAACGCTCACGATTATACAGGTATATGTACCTTCCTCTTCAGCGAGAAAGAAGAAGTTTTGCTTTTCTACGAGGAACTGGATACGACCTCTCAAGGTAATCGACCTACACAATCGTTTGAGGAGATTTCAGAGCAGTTGTCAGCCCACGAGCGTATGACAACTCTCTGTCGGACGACTTGGCATTGGTGTGAGAAACGACAGAGGAAGACATTAGATAAAATTCTTAGAGAGCATTGCTTCTCAGTTATGAACATCTTCTTCAAAATAGCGCGAAGGTGCGTGAGGTGGAAAAGCCCATATGCGAGATGTATGAGTCAGATCGACTATGTGATGAGAGATACCGAAGGCTATCACAACGTCTCAAATATTGGTGAGAACGTGATATTCATCGGTTCTGATCACTGACCTATACGCTCGACGATTCTACTTCATCAGTAGGGAGAAAACCGAGTTTCACGGTAATCCGATATGCATTCAAAGCTTCGAATGTGTTTGCTTCTGTGATTTCATGATCGTTGCTATTGGGCCCCCTTGAAAATATTGATGCAGACTAAGAAAAGCTTGTTGCAAAACTGACAACTACTATTGATCATTCCAGTTTGACGTCGAGACCGGTACGTCGCAGGCGATTATCGACAGAGGCAATTCCAGGTGAGGAGAAGAGGCATGAAAAACGAGGACTCTGCAAAATGACGATTACAGTGCACTATGCAAAGCGATCAAGTAAAAACGGCGAAGACCATGAAATCTACAGACAAGGGAGCTTCGCGCAACAGCAGACAAACGAATAAGCCTGAGAGGAGTGGAAAGGAATATACACGCTCAGACAACATACCGTCGGCTTCCAAGGACGATGCCGGTGTGAGGACAACACATCTTCAAAGGTTGAACTGAATATGTGCAAAGTGCTGTGATGATCTCTACTCCTTCAACGCAACGTTCAGACTTGTAGCGCTACAGCGTCGCGCTACTGCGTCGCGCTACTGCGTCGCGCTACAGCGTCGCGCTACAGCGTCGCGCTACAGCGTCGCGCTACAGCGCCGCTTCGCAACGTACTGCATTTCCAACGTTAGGATGATTAGAGTTGCTTACAGAGAAAAGTGGGAAGGTTGCTGGAGCTTTTCTTGAGAGATTCACGGAAAGGTGAGACTGATACAGCTGTAACTATCTGACGCCATCCTTGACAGTTACTCCATTATGTTGAGTAGGAAGCCATGAGGGAGGTGCATAGGGTGGTCGCACAGGTAGATCGCGCCCCCTGCGTGAGATCTGTAGTTGGCGCGCCCCCAGGCAAGGTGGTCTTTTCGCGGGCCCCTCAGGCAAGATAGGGGAGGGCCGCTGGGTATATAAGAGCTAGCCGTAAGACTCAAGCAGAGCTTTCTCTGGTGTTAGTGAATCCTGGCCATCGGACTTCGTCGCCGCCTGCAGTAGACGTCGCCGCCCGCAATGGACCGCCGCCTTCTTCGATTTCTGCACGCCATCATCGCTCAAGACATTCCTACTACTACCGTATATGCTGTAAATAAAATTCTTTCTGTTATCCGTTTCCACCGCAGAGTAAGCAAGTAGTTGCCAGTCGCATACATAAGGGCCGAAACTCTACTATTCGGCCTTACATGGGGGCCGAACCACTTGCGACTAAAGCGACTACTTCGTTTGCTGAGCGCGAGTGAGCGGATACAGCAGGTGGATCGTTCCTGGTCTATTGGTCAGGTAGCCATTGAGAAGGGCACCAGGAGATCCAAAAGGAAGCACGGTGTTCGAAAGCAGGAAAGAACACCTTGTTAGAAAGATCGACCTCGCTTTACACCGGAAGAGGGTGTTAGGAGGTTTGAAAGAGTATAAGCGTTCGAAGAGAAGAACACATTGGCAGGGCGATAAGGCATCGCAAAGAATGGTTGTCGTGAGGGAACGACAGAGGTCACCACAAGCATGAGTAGTGATGAATTGCAGCGAGTCTTTATGAAGGAGGACGAGCGGTGTATACCCAAGAGTTGGGTAGTCCCAAAGCTGATGGAAAGTACCAGCATGAGAGCTGGCTTACGTGCATGCGGATAGTGCGTGAAGCGAAGGAAAGGGCAAAATTGGTGTTAGGCAATGCTAAAATAGCGAAGCAAGCTAGAACCAGTTTGGAAAATGATTGGGATGTAGTAAGTGAAGCGGTAGAAAAACTAGCAAGAGAAGCTTTACATCATCCCGTAGTATCAGATGAGTTGATGAGTCTCCCAAAGGGGTATAGAAACAGGAGACGAATGGAGAGACTATGTCGACACTGTAGAAAAAGATGGAGAGCTCGTGAACGAGCTGTGTGATCTTCTACAGACTGACGTCTCTCAGCTCAAGCGTACCGTGGAGGTGAGATGCCGCGAGCCATTTGGGAAGGACTGGCCTGGAATGCAGTGCGATCGACGAGGGTCTGCAAGGCAAGCGGTGGACGAGGCTTGGCAAAAGCCAAGTTTGCAGGAGAGACCCTGTACGTCGGTGCACAATGGCCGAGCACATGGAGTGAGTCCATGGCCAACAGCCCCACTGCGAGAGGACGAAGGGGTGCTGAGCAGCGTTCATTTGGTGAACTACCTGAGGTCTATGACATGTTCTGACCCGGGAATTTTCAAAGGGGTAAAAGGTGAAGACTTCCAGGAGTTCCTGAGAAAATTCAGAAGAAAATATGAGACAGTGATTTCGTGCGAAGAAACACTTTTAGAGATCTTGTCAGATGATCATCTAGCCGGTAGGGCTAAGAATGTGTTTGCTTCGCTACCACGCGCAGTTAGGGAATGCGGGTTTGAAGGCCGTAACGCAGGAAATGGCCAGGTTGATGGCATACGATTCTACGGCAGGAAGAATGAGAGCACTGACCGAGTTGAAAAATTTGAGGATGAGACCAGGTCAAGAAGTGTCAGAATTTTGCGTAGTTCTAGAAAGGCTAGGTAAGCAGGCAAATCCAGAGTGTACACTGGAGGACAGGTCGATGGAATATGCCCAAATTCTACTCGATAATCTGAGCGACTGGCCTGAACACTTCCAGTTAGTTGGAGCGCTGCACAGAGTAGAGCCTCGCAAGGCTTATGAGGAGGTAAAGCAGCTAGCTCTGAGTATAGAGCAGTCAAGGATAATGATTGGAGTAAATGAAAGAGGCTCAATGGCTTGGAAAAAGAGATGCGCTCAGTACCAGTATGGCAGTGAACAAAGACCGACAGTGAGGATGAGAGAGAGATTCCCTAATATCGAACGAGGGAGAGCAGGGGAAAAGACCGATTATAACGCGGAAACATCCCCTGTCACAGAAGTTGAAGAAATGAGTACTTCAGAACATAGACGCCAGAGGCAGGAACAGAGCTCCCGCGAGACAGTGCGGAGCAGGAAATGCTACCGTTGCGAAAGAATTGGGCATATAGCGCGAGAATGCCCGGAAAAAGCGGTGAAAGTAAACCGTACATTCCAAAAGAAGTCCCCTGGTGAAGATACAGAAATAAAGTTGTCGTCCATATAGAGCGAAATCGTAGTATGGGGATGAAAGTTCGACGAAAAAGATCTGATGACAGCGATCTCATTGGGAAACGGATAATGGTCCCTGTGAGGCTTCTTGGAGATCGGTGTACAGCCCTTGTAGATACTGGTTCCATGATCAGCATTATCCCATTGAAAGTCCTGGCGAAAGCACAAGATCGAGGATGGGATGTTGACTCTTTGAAGGTAGTGCCGAAGTCAAAGCTAAAACCAGTGTTTGATGCTTCCAACAGTAGAATGGACTTCGTTGGCGCAGTTCACATTGAAGTTGAAGTGGGTAGTGAAAACTCCGAGATGATTGCGTTCCATATTAGTGCGGACAAGGAAGCAGAGACTATTCTTGGAACGAACGCGTTGGAGAAGTTGGGTATTGACGTGGCTGTAAATAAAGAATGCAGGAAGGATCTAGTATCTCTGGATAAAAGAAACAGAAACAAGGTGGTAGTGTCGTCAAGCTACTGCCCTAGCAAGATGAATGCCAAACCTCATGAGAGTGTGACAGCACAGAATAATGGGTTGGGGTCGCATAGGAAAGGCATGTATGTCAGGAAAAAAACAAAGTGGATGGTAAAAGATATCCAAAGGTCGGGAACCGGCTGTATGTTCCGACGTCTAAAGAAGGAGACCCAAAGCTAGCAGTCCATTGGAGAGGACTATCCAAAGTAAGTGAGGCCAAGAATAGTCCCCCTTCATCGAGCGTAGGGCAAGACAGTAAAGCAATTTTTGGGCGGCCAAAAATGTTGAGGCCTGCATCAGAAGGATTTCTCGACCAGGAGGTCTACACAGAACATAATGGAGGTGATGAAAGCAGAAAACCGAAAATGAGAGCTTGTCAAGTCCCCACTCATAGACAAGAGGGGCGGCAGCAAGATTACTGTGATACCCGTAAAGCGAACGGGTTCGAGATTCTGACCTCGAGCGGTCGTCGAGGACGACGACTCCACGACGGGGAGGCATGTTGAGTAGGAAGCCATGAGGGAGGTGCATAGGGTGGTCGCACAGGTAGATCGCGCCCCCTACGTGAGATCTGTAGTTGGCGCGCCCCCAGGCAAGGTGGTCTTTTCGCGGGCCCCTCAGGCAAGATAGGGGAGGGGCCGCTGGGTATATAAGAGCTAGCCGTAGACTCAAGCAGAGCTTTCTCTGGTGTTAGTGAATCCTGGTCATCGGACTTCGTCGCCGCCTGCAGTGGACGTCGCCGCCCGCAGTGGACACCGCCGCCTTCTTCGATTTCTGCACGCCATCATCGCTCAAGACATTCCTACCTACTACTGTATATTCTGTAAATAAAATTCTTTCTGTTATCCGTTTCCACCGCAGAGTAAGCAAGTAGTTGCCAGTCGCATACATAAGGGCCGAAACTCTACTATTCGGCCTTACAATTAGTCACATTTTTCTGGTACTGCTTTTAGCGTAACAGTGTCCTTCGCCTATTAAGAGCATTTTCTGCAAAAAACACCCAAAGAGTACTCGCGCCACCTAAAAACACGCACGCATGTTTTTTTACCGGAGACACAAGAACCATAAAGGAACTTCTTGTTTGCCTTGTGTTAACGCATTGGTGACCAGACAGTCTTCGCGTGCCTGTTGTGGGAGATAAGGCCATTTTTTCTGCTGCCGACAAATGCGACTCAATACTGATACGCTCCTAGGCCAAAAAAAGTACAAGAAACTGTCAAGGCTTTGTTGGCTGTGAATGCCTCGAAAACCGGCATAAATCTTTTTCCTGTGATCCAGGCAGAGATTGGGGCAAACTCGAAAAGCAGATTTCGCTCCATAATCGATAAGCGGCATTGGATTCTGTATTCATTCTTTCTGTATTCAACCCTCTTCTCTTTGTTTCTCATATTTATCTGAATAGTGAGCTCCTGTTTTCTACTTTATCACATTTTAATGTAGTTTCGCAATCGGGATCAAAACGAGGCAGCACTGCAAGACATCAAGCAAAGCCATCAAACATCAAGCAACTGTGAAACCAAATAATTAAAGTCAAAAACGATAAATAAAACCAATTATCACAGTCTTCTGTATCAAAAACTACATTAAAATGTGATAAAGTAGAAAACAGGAGCTCACTATCAGATAAATATGAGAAACAAAGAGAAGAGGTTGAATACAGAAAGAAAAAACATAAAAGCTGGAGTTCGGTACAACTGTAGCGCTACAGCTGTAGCGCGACGCTGTAGCGCGACGCTGTAGCGCGACGCTGTAGCGCGACGCTGTAGCGCGACGCAGTAGCGCGACGCTGTAGCGCGACGCTGTAGCGCTACACGTCTGAACGCTGTCTAAAAGGTTATCGTTGGAAGGGCTCACTTTTTTGCTGTGAGCCGACCCCAGAGATCATGTGGGGAAAAGGTCGAGCACGCATTACGGCAGATAAGGACGGGAAGGAGCGGACGTCTGGACAATATTCTTTCCGAACCCCTGAAAGTAAGAGGAGTCTCTCTGCGGAGATAACACGACTCTTTCGGTGTGGAATAATCTTTCGGAGTAAGAAAAACTGCTGGTGAGAAAAGGAGATCCGGAAATCCACAGTCTCATCACTTTGCTCTCTCGAATATATAGGGCTTTCACATGAATAATCCTTAATCGTTTTCTCGAGGACCAGGTCAGTGACTGGCAGAGATTAAGCAGGATTCCGATAAGAATACTCCACACTAGACCTGAACAAATTTCACATTTTCTACACTCTGACTCGCCTTGACAAAAAAAGCATGGCTCAGCCAGGCAGGCTCGACTTTGACGGGCATGTCACATGGAGGAAAGACCTGCGTCAGTTGGACGATCTGGCTAGTTCCGAATAATGCTGAATGCTTGAGTTCTGTCATATTTTTCAGAATCGGGCTCTCCTTTCATAGAGAGGCGCATCGACACTGAGGTGAGCATCGCCCTTTCGATGACGCATTGGATGACGCTGAATGCACCCTGCCTCCGTAGGGTCAAAATCTCCAGAACGTGAGTCAAAGAAGTAAGGATCGCGAAATCGAAGAGGAGGCATGGATCCAGTTGTTGCTCCACAAGTCGCTCGCTTCCTCCTGTTCAACTCTGGTGTTGAGTCGTATCGATTTCCCGACCAAGTGCACAGGACAGCATTCAGAAATGTTCGTTTCATTGAGTGAGAAGGCGGCATCATAAACCAATCCGTCCTTAAACATACTCTTCGTGATTTTTTCATAAGCGCAGTCGAAAGTGGCCAAAATTTGCTTTGCTCGCGCAATATCTGGTGTTATTGGAATGATATCGTCAGCAGGGCGCAGGTGATGTGGTTGCCGGTCGCCGGCCTTTACTCCCATGTCCTCCCATTTCACTTGACATATGATATTCTCGGCAGAGGAGCTAAAGAACTTGGGCGAGATGGTGTCGCCTGTTGGATTTTTCTCTTTATTTCGGCGGTGCACTCCTTGTAGAATGGTGAGATTCTGGTCGTGAAAATGCTGTAGAGCGCACGAAGAATTCTGACGTACTCAGTAGGTTGCCCAGAGTTTTGATTAGCACTGCTGTCTCGACGAGGTGGCAGGCTTTCCTCAAATCGATGGACATGAGACATATCGGTATCTTGTGCTCTCGCCATGCTCCAGTGGGTTTCTTACCATGTGCATGTGATCGGTCGTCCCGATTCCTCTCCAAAACTCTGCTTGCTCACATGGCTGCCCCTCCTCTAAATTTTTACGAATCTTGTTTAGGATGACTGTGGGAAAAAATTGGTAGAGCTATACTTGCCTATGCCCTGCAGGTTTCCCTTCTTGCGCAGAACATACTCCTGCTGGTCTTCCATGAGGTGAGTACCTTGCACTCCGACAGGTAGCGCGTGAAGAGTCGAGCCAGAGTTTTGACAAGAACTGACGGAAGTTCCGGGACCGGTTGTCGAACGATTCTTCACCGGCTAATCGGACTTCGTAAGGGAGAACTGCAGGGAAGACGTATACCTCCTCTACTGTGGTTTCATGGCAAGTGGACGCGGCTCGGATCAGTGTAGAAGTCATGGATGACCTTCTCCATTGCCCCATTGCCCTTCTAGAGTCGGATTGTTCTGTTGAGACGTCGGAGGCCGGTCATTTTGGTCTTACAGTTGGCGAAGTCGCTGCAGGCGTTGCGGATGCTCTTCCCAGCCTCTGCAGCTTCCACCAGTACTGCTGCTCTTCTCTCCTTGAGAACATCCTTCACTGATTTTCGTCATGACTGCTCGGGCGTCAGCTCACGTGCATCTCGTGCGGCTCAACGCTAGCAAGTCAGCTCGAGAATTTCCAGAATCGAACCCTGGTAATCTTGGAACTTTTCGTTTTTTTTGGACTCGTGAGAATGTTCGACGAAGCCTTTAGTATTCGTCGATGTAGTCGATAACGGTCTTACTTCAACAGCTAGGCTAGATAAGTGAAACGATCCCGACTGATGACGGTCTGGAGACTTTGCTTATAGAACTTGAGCTCTCTCACCTTGAATCGAGAAGCTGGATCCCTCGCGGCGAAGGAGATGGTGGTCTATAGGAGAATTCGAAACAAGAGAGACGTCGATCAGACAAACCTTCGATTAAAAATGATTCGGTCTTATGATCTCTTTATGGAATGGTCCAGCAGGAGCTCCCATATCCAGCGTAGAGAGCAAAGCCTCTGGAACTACAAGTTACCATGGATGGTATGGGTCGGTCGGCAGCTAGTTTCACCGCGCTCATCCCTTACTGTTCCCTGAGTTGCCATGTGAGGTCCCTCAGCCGTTTTTTGAGTCCAATGTTGAAGATTGCAATCGAAGACGGTAACCTTGAAAAAAGGTGTAGCCTCCCATAAAGTCCAATTCCATATAAAATGCTTCAGGCTCATCCTCGTCACAGCTTGATGATGGTCGTAGGTGACGATGATTGTCGAAGCAAGAGTTAAACCAACTGCAGGAGTCCGACTCTCGTAAGATTTGTACGAATCATGTTCACGGCCAAGTGCGTGTTGACGAGGAGCTCACACCGCCAACGCCTCCACTGCCGCATGTTCCGAGGAA